TAGTACTCCACAGGAGAGTCGCCACTATACAACAAAACCAAGGAAAGCTGTAGTTCTTGGGTAGAGGGGAGTGAAAGGGAAGTAATCAAATAGAAATAATATTTAAAGAATGCCCAATTTTCAAATGGCAGCTGCAAAAATGCTTTAGCCTGCCTAACTAGCTAAATACAAAACTTCTAAGAAAGCACTTTAGCTTTGTGAAATAAAGGCTTGAAGACATAACAATCTAAGGCATGTTTTGGCTCTCATCCAGACAAGCATTCAAGCATGCAATTCAGTTTAACACTCAGTAATTCCACTGAGTTCCTTTCTGGATCAGTAAGTACAAGCAAGACAGAAATGTGGAAAGCTCACTCTTTGCCTTTAAACCTTGAGGAGAGCTGCTGGTAACACCTGATGGAGCTGGTGATGGATGGCGGATTTCCTAGGCTTCTATGCAAAGATGGGTAGGAAGGGAGAAGACGAACTGGAAGGCTGTGGAATCATAATGTATTCAGGCACCATAACAGCAAAGGAACAACTTTTTAATGGTTGTTGCATTAAATGGTGTTCAGAACAGAACTTGCCAGAATTGTAAAATATGTTTCTTTGATAGATGGGACTAGTCTGTAGAAATTGGGAAAGGATTTAAAGCCCTGGTACTAGATCCCTTCATAGGAAAATATTACTTTCTGTTGATATTGGTAACACACAAATGAAATTATTCTCAAGGTGTGTTTAAAGGACTGCACCTATTGGTAGCATCTGCTACAGAGTTTCTTATTGTCTCAGAGTATTTTAATGTGGTTCTTTATCTCTGAATTCTGTCCCATCACAACAAATGCATTCTGACATGAATTCATATTCAGGTTTGGGTATTTTGTTTGTTTCTCTTTGGTTGTTCTCTTTAAACTATCTACAGGAATTTAGGAACAGAGCAGAGAGATCCTTCACTGAGTCTGCTCCTTTGAGTTGCAGTGTTTCCCAGCATTTACTTCATAGTAAGGCACTAGGAACATGTTTTTCCTCTAAAACTTATTCATGATCCATGAAAATTTAATTTAAAAATTACATATTTAAGAGCTCAATACTGAAACATCTATCTAGTTCAGAAGTATTGCTTTCTTTGTGGGCTCCATTCCTTTTTTAGTCACTTCCATTAGTTTATGAAACCTTCATGGCTTCTCTACTGAAAAAAAAGAATCCTTTTTTTTTTTTTCCTTCTTTCAGAAAAAGTTTCTTTTCTACAAGGCTAGGATACAAATAGGGAAAACCATCTGGTTATCTTTCCAATTTTATAGATTCTGACATTAAAAATGCTCACTATACTTCCGAGCATAGAGAAGGAGCTCAAATATATGCACAATACCCAACTTTAAATAGATGAAGCGCTCTAGTTGTACAGCTACTTTTCTGTTGACTAACTTTGATTTTAGTTTCTGTGACAGCCAAAACAGTAAAATCTTCTGCCGTGTTAAAGAAAAGTTTTGTCATCCGCTTATATATTTGCTTCTTTAAAGAGAGAACAGTACTACTGCTGCTTAGATTTTGCTCAGTGGTAACTGCTTTTAAAGTGCTTCATTTTAACGCCATTATAGAAAAACGGCATTCCTTTTCCAAACAGATAATTGTGTATATCATAGCTTTCAACTGCATTTTGGAATAACATATATTCACTTACAAAGGCTTTAGTGTTTAACCTAGAGTTGCAGGTTATTAGGAGGCAAGCTACAAATAAAAGTATCTGTGTATTTAAATATGAGCTGCTCCCTTGTCCAAAGTTCAAGCTGCCATAAAACAAAGATAAGTTTCAAGACATAATGACAACAGAGAGGAACTGGTTAATGATTAAATAGAATAAGACACGAAAAACTGACACTAGCCAAAGAAATGTTTTATATTACAACAGTGTGTGTTCAAGGCAGGAGAATAATTTATCAAGGCACTTAAGTGAGATAACATTCCTTCTGTTGTTGAATAATAGTCGGGGTGGAATAATTAAGAAATTCAAGTAGAAAATGGCCCTGAATTGTTGAAATGAATGTTATGTGTTCTACTGGACTTTAAGAACCTCTTTCTCTACAAACAAATGGAATACTTTTCAGAGTATGCATACAGTATATTTTTTATATATTCTACAATCAGTACAAGTTCTCTATTACTTCTAAAAAATTAAGCATTTATTTTAAATTAGCAATGATTATTTCATTACAATAAAATAGTTACCTACTATAGTTAAGAAAACCAAAGATCATACAACTACAATAATCATTAAGAACACAACGTTCCATTGTCATCACAGTGAACAACTATAAAAAAAAGGAAACAAATTACAAACTCATGATAACCTTGGCCCATTATTCATTAGGTACTATAAAGCATTGTTTTCCTCACCTCGAACACTTTGTTCTCAGCATAAATTTGACAATGCATTTGGACTCGATCTCCCTCTCAAATCAGCTTTCTAAGGCTCCATAATACTAATTATGAAACTCTGCTGGTTTTAGCTGGGGTAGAGTTAGTTTTCTTCATAGTAGCTAGTATAGGGTTGTGTTTTGGATTTGTGCTGGAAACAGAGTTCATAACAGAGATATTTTCATAACTGCTGAGCAGTGCTTATGCAGAGCCAAGGCCTTTTCTGCTTCTCACCCCACCCCACCAGTGAGTAGGCTGGGGGCGCATGAGAAGTTCAGAGGGGACACAGCTGGGACAGCTGACCCCAGAGATATTCCAGACCATATTACGTCATGCTCAGCCTATAGAGCTGGAGGAAGAAGTAGGAAGTGGAAGACGTTCAGAGGTACGGTGTTTATCTTCCCAAGTAACCGTTATGCATTCCTGGAGATGGCTGAACACCTGCCTGCCGACAGGAAGCCATGAATGAATTCCGTGTTTCGCTTTGCTTGTGCACTCACCTTTTGCTTTACCTGTCGTTAAACTGTATTTATCTCAACCCATGAATTTTCTCACTTTTACCCTTCCAACTCTCCGCCATCCCACCGGGGGGGTGGGAGTGAGCGAGTGGCTGTGTGGGGCTTAGTTACCTGCTGGGGTCAAAGCACGACAAACACAAAGCTGGTAAATGCTTATGGACCCAACCTAAGTCTTTCATATTTTCATTTGTAGCTACCTCATCTTGTTTGATAAAAACTGGCTTGTAAAATATTTCTAAAATATTTTAAATAATTCTGTTAAAACATGATTTAAAAAAAAATTTAAACATGGGACTAAAACATGTTTTCTTCAGCTGCATCCAACAAATCAGATTTTCAATTTCTTTAAATGTGCATTTGAGTTTCCCCATAAGGTTACCTTTGAACTTCAATTAAATTAAAAAAAACAAAATGCCAGAAAACAAAATAGGATATTTTTTTAAGGATTGGCAAATCAAATCAAAACAGCTAGTATGCAGATTTTTTTTAAAAAAAAAAACAAAACCAACACCATGACAAATTTCAGATCAAACAATATTAACTGTGGAAAGGTTACAGCCTTTCTGTCATACTACAACAAAATGATTTAGCTCTTTTGACCATAGCCAAACAGTTAATATTTCCTTTCTATTACAATCTTGTCTGTTTGGAAAATATTTATTTAGATATACTTCATATTTTAGTTCTAATACTCACATATTTTCAATTTTCATTTGCTGTCGAAACAGCAACAGGTTGAGCCTTGGCTTTAGACATACTTCGGGTAACAATAACACAGCATGTTCCATACTGAAATAGTTCAGAAAGTACATGAGATATTACTTGCTCTGGCCTTACTGTAATTTAAATTATCTATTCATCATTCATTTACATTCTTCTTATTTAATAGGTTTTGGACACACACAGGTGATAAAAGGGTCTGGCACTGATTTCCATTATTGAGTGCAGAAATTTATGTAGTGATTAAATTATTATGCTATTTCAGCTATATCTGTGGGTTTTGGAAGCAAAATAATTGTCATTTACTTAAACCATTTTCTATTTAAGAGAGTAACAAATATTTGTTACGAATACTCTTCAGAAGTCTCGTGTGACACATATAAGTATGACTCTCCTGGCTTTACCAGTAGATGCTTTAATAAGGTGGCTTTCAGCAAGTCAGCTGCAAACCTGACAATGCATGGATTGAGCTCCCATTTTGATATTTTTACCACTGCACAGTGCCAGCTCTTGTTTTATTATGTTCTCTGGTCCATTTTTAAATATTCACTTGCAAGTTAGTATGTAAATTAACTATTGCTAAAAAAAGCATCGTTTGAGTCAGTTAATATAGAAGTGTTGCACATCGTTGCACATATGACAAGAAAAAAACCCTTGGATCAAAAGTACAGTTGCAGATAATTTCCTCTGCAAAGGAACTGTATCAGCTTAAATCAAAGGGCATGTGACTTTGGAACAAAAGGCTCCCAGGCTGGACACAGTGAAACTTTTGCTGATGGTCAACACCCAGCTCACTCTTCCTTCTTATATCCAGTTGCCAGACTCCACTGACAGATTTCTTAAAGGCATCACTTCGAATGTTAGATGTACATACGCTATGTAAACAAATATAAATATATCTATATTTAAGATCTATGCACTTAACCATAGCATTTGATGTATTTGATACAGATTTTCATGTATATGCAACCACAATATTATAGGTAATGTTACGGTTGTAGCCGTAGAATTTGGGTGGCAAAAGGCAGCCAGGGGAAAGATCTCCAGGTTGAAACACAAAACAAAAGTTCTTTAATGTTGTCCCTGCATTAAATTACAGTCTGCAGTATGAACAGACAAATAAATAGGGAGCCCAGGATGAGTTCAGATTTTTGCAGTGTGTCTTCCGCATCTGATTTTCTACCTACTGTTGTGTAAAGTGATTATATATTCCTGCAAGCTACGTATCAGTTTGTCTTTCAATCTACACACAACAGGTAGTCTTGTCTTGATTGGCTGTCTTGTCAATTTGGCTAATTAAGTCAGTACTAAAGCAAAATTCTGTGAAATCAGATTGTGACAAGCTATCGTCTTGGTTGTGTCTTTCAGAAAACACACCTGAAAAGTATTTGTCTGCAATATCAGCTGTATCTTCTTCTGAACAACCATTTCTTTTGCCTTTTAAAGAATGAGATGGGACTAATCATCTTCTTCCTATGGTAACTACAAAGTAAATGTTAATTAGACAGTAAATACAAACTATTTACTTTTACTATTACAGCTGTTACTTGCCTCCAGTCGCTTTAGAGAGTGGATCCTCTCTTGCCATGAAATGCAGTCCCCCATTGCTTCGTAGGCGACGGTCCCGTACTTTATTCTGTCCTTGACTAGGCTCATTCTGGTCAAGAATGCATCTTGGCCCCAATCTCTGTGATAACCCTTGAGTTGTTGAAATTGTTGTATTTGAAGACCTCCATCAATCGCCATATGTCTTTGCAATGAAAAAAACCACCACATGTGAGCGTTTTTAAATACATACGCCAAACTATCTATGAGATGCCTCAGAAAACTGGCCCTGCTTCCAAAGCCTACATGCCCCACTTGTTTTCTCTTTGTGCCCCTTCAGTCAAATCTCTTTGCTAAGGTCTGACATTTTCTCTCTCTCTCTCCCCTGGCAAAATCATGGTAAATGTCCTCTGATTCTTGTTATAACCCGCCTTTTTTCCCTTTATCAAAAATCTTGTAATTTAGGGGAAATTGTTAAATGTTTAACAACTGCTTGTTTTAAACCAACTTCCCAAAGCAATTGGTCTGTCTACATTGTTGTATATCATTTATAGTACAGCAGTACTTAAAGGCATCCAAATTAAGGATCCAGGTGGAGACACATTAAAACTGGAATTCACATTCTAAAAATCTTCCCTGGAGAAGGAAATCTTCCTTCCATCCTTTAGTGGTTCACATTGAGCAAAATCTTAACCATAGCAGGAAGAAGCTTTCCTCAACATAAAAAATTACATCTAAAATGACAAATAATATTTCTACAGGTCTTAACATAGAAATTCAACAGTATTCGGTGGGGGGGCGGAATTTTCAGTGTAAGAGACTTTGCAATTTGTGATTTTTTTTGTATGCTTTAAAAGAACTGTGGGTATTTTATATTAATTAGTTGAACCTTTCTCTTGCATTATGTTCTATAAAACTGGCCTTTTTAAAAAACCACATTGAAGTTTATACAGTGTGTGACTAAGAATCCGGTTTTATGTATCTTTATGATTTTATGATTTTTCAAATATACTTGCCCTCACATTTACCATATATATATATATACATGTAAACTTTGTATCTGTAGTATCTGAATAAACTGACTCTTTTTTCAGCATAAACATTATGTTTACCTACTGTTTGGCCTAATGGTCACTGGTTTTCTTCTCTTCTAGTGCTTATGTACCAAAGACAGCGGCAGGTCATTGCCAGTGGGAGGAAGTTCTGAAAGATTTGGAGCAGATCAAGACATCCAAAGTAAGTTCATAAAAAAGTCAGAATTTCATATAATCATAGGAGCAGACATAATTAAATATTTAGCACTGTGCTCAGCTAAGAACGGTCTGTGACAGGGAGCAGGAAAATGATGGTGTTTATATAATGCTGTTTTATGGGTGGAAGCAAAGGAACAGAAGGTTAGAGGGAATTGAAGTTGACTGAACACTGCAGACTCTAGAGTTAAATATTATTTTTTTCTCACCTCTCCTAAGAAAATAGACTTGGGAGTTATCTCCTTCGGAGAAAGTATTTTGAGACTTGATTCTGATGAGTCCTTGTCACAGTGAAGCCCATCCTGCGGGTTATTAGTTGATTTTAAGATCCCAGTATCTGGATGGATTGGGCCGTAGAACTTGGAGCTGATCCGTGTCTTGCAGACTTAGCTTTATCATCTCTAAATCTCTTAGTTAATGTTCCTAATTCTAACTCTTGTTTTCTTTTAGGACATTGATGTCAGTTTATATACTGCAAACACAGATGAGGACGTAAGTAAACTTAAAACTTGACAACAACTGTTCTACTATGGTAGCTTCATTTCTGTACTAGCAACTTTCTCCTAAGGTAGCCCTGGTCTAATTTGAGAAAAATTTCAGAAATCAAATAATTTGCCTTGGAATGAATAGTTCTGTTAGTTAAAGTACTTATGATAAATTATAGAAGCAGGTATTAATTATTTTTATTGAATCACCTGCTATTAAAATTAATCAATTAAAAGGGATGATCCAAAATGATCTTATCAAAGCAAACACTGCTAAAATAATGTTGGTATTCATTTGTAATTTGAGATAGGAAAAAAGAGACCAAGAAAATACTTCCAAAGGCGATTATTTAACACGCACTATTTAATGGAATATGGAGAGTAACTGTCAGCATCTGCCTGTGCATTTCTTTGCTTTTGCCATTCCTTATCTTAGCAGCAAATACCTAGGTACTCGCTCTCAAGGATTTAGATTTCTAGTAGCTGCACATTATCATTTATCCTGCAAAAGATGAACTGTGTTCATTCATCAATATATGCTTAATATAATCATAGAAACCTGTGTAAAATATGATCATCTTAAATGCAGTTTCCATAAATCCATTCCTGAAGAGACTTTTCCATAATCTGTTGCTGCGAAGCTCAGTCTGCACTACATGGGACATAGGCACCCATCAAGAAAACGCATCCAGCCTTGCCTCACTCCTCGCAGTCACCTCTGGTACAGCCCTGGTGGAATTGGCTGGATTCATTGCTGTGGTAGTAGCCTGCTTATGAGACACTGCTCCCCTGGCAACATAAATATTCACACAAGGACTGTGCCGAACACAAACAATACATGAATCCTGTACATAAAGAGTTAATGAAAGATTTCCTAGAAATGATGGACTGACTATTTCAGTGCAGAATAGTCTCAGCGTGCACGCAGAATACAGTAATGCTGATGTGTTCAGTGGATCTGGCAAGCCTGGGAAAGCACGGAGTCTGATGTGTCTGTACAGTTAGTCCTGTACATGACAGGAAAAAAGGTCGCAGAACATGCTCGTCCACATCTGCGCGCGCATTCTCTGAACTGAACCGAGTCAGAGAGGTTAATCCATTGCAATGGCTGAGTTAATACCTGGTAATGTCAGGAAGATTTTCTCAAAGTAGGACATTCTGATATGAAAGTCAGACAACCTGGGACTTATTCTTGGCTTTCTTGCTGGCTTGATGGTGAAATCAGAACCTCTTCTTCTTTTTCTTAATTTGTAAAATAACAGATGATATCTACTTTCTTTTCTCCCCTACCTATTCTGAATTCAGATCTCTGAATGAAAGGGCTAGAACTACCAAGAATACTACTACTTTAATACTACTATGTTGAATTATATCCCAAATTCTTATCGTGATTAATTATTTTCCTATATTCTTCATCAAGACTCTACGTTTCACCTCATTAGCAAACTGGCTGGTCTTTACGTTGTTAGCTCTCACAGCCAATCTTTGCAGACATTTAAAAGCATTTGAATAGTAAGAAAAGATACTCAGTAAATAAAAATCAGCCACTTTGTGGTAAATTATATCTTACATTAACTTATTTCTTTTAAATCATAAAACTAGAACAACTTCATATTTTTTTTCCAGAAAGAATGCCAAGAACCTATAATTAGATGCTTTTTCTTAGAGACAAAAGTGATTCTTCAAGAATGTCTTATCAAAAATTGTAGTAGAACACAGGATGTATGGAACATATGGAAAAATGGAAATGCAAGCTTAGAAAACAAGGTAAGTACCGCCAACAGTCTGTGGAAAAATGAAAATCAAAAGTGTTTCTTAAGTAGTAGAAATACCTCTTTCATTACATAAAAGGTGAGATGGTACAGACGAAAGCAAATGGGATCCATTAACCTGTACATATAACAATGAAAAAGTTACACATAAAAAAAATGAAAAAGCAGCATTTACTGGTTTTTAGAACAACGCTTTCAGGATTCCCATCAAAGCAATACTTTCGACTATGCATGCATATGTATGTCAGGGTGTCTGAATGTGCATGTATAAATAACAGTTTGTGACTTCAGTATCTAAAGTCAGATATGCTCAAACAAATGCTAGAAAAGTATCCTGATTTCCAAAGGGACAGTCACTTGCATCTCTCACTGAAGTGCTGTTATCTTTGAAAGCTGATGCTACTCAAAAAGCAAGCCAGGAGCTGCATAGACCATAAGTACCGTGGAAAGCTCCAGCAATGCTTCCTGTAGCCATTGACTGTGTTGCAGTTATTCACAAAAACAGGACAAGCAAGGGTTAGTTCTCTATCAGAACAAATAGATCAGTATCCTGCTTTACTATTGCATTTTCTGTTTCAGATGAATTCCACAACACCAGGAAAATGCAAAGAATGTGAAGAGTATGAAGAAAAAAATTTTACTGAATTTATAGAGAGTTTTGTAAAGGTTATACAGAAGGAATGCAAACACTGACCAAAAGACACAAGCTGGGAACCAAGATTCTTCCACGAACATCCTCAGATAAACTAGATTACAGCCAACAATAAACGGGAAAGAATATCACTTACATTCCTACCTACACAGCATAACGTGTAAACAAAGAATAATAAAATCCCTGTAATTCACAATGTATTAGTAACTGATACATACAAATGATACTACTTATGAAATATAAATGAAAGGAATTTAACAGGATTTAAAACTTATTCTTGACTTAAAGTATCTTTATATTTTGGTAAGTCCACCAGAAAAAGAAATCCTGTCAAACTAAACAACCTTCAAAACAAAATTCTCTAAGAAAATCTCAAGGATATCTGCAGTGGGAACCTCCTCATGAACATCAGCTCAGGGCTAACTAAATGGATTTTCAGAGAAAAGCTCTTCTTTTACTATTATTAATATAAAATGATCATACTTTTAAAGCATTTGGCTATAGCTATTTTTATTATCTGAAATCTATCCCTTTACCATCTGTGCTCCTAGAAGATCTAGCTCATCTCTCACTTCTGTTGTTAGTCGTGTCTGACAGTTTTCCTTGCTATTTGATATTTCCTCATTATCATTCCTTCAAAGAACCAGTGTCAAAACACAAGCTGAGGCCTATTTGTCTTAAAGGTCTACTAGCTATCTCTTAATAGATTTATTTCTGGTATGGTTTTCAGATAAATCCAATTACTTGTTTTACCTAAGAATTCAATGTCAAAAATTAGAATATTTGTTTAAAGATTCTTCCTTGCCTTTTTTCCCCTTTTGTACAATGGTGGTATAAGGGTATTAAAAATGATCTCCAGTCTTTTCAACAGAAGGCAATGCTGGTGTTTGGTTCCACTGTCCAACGACAGAACATGCTTTGTAACTTCATTTGTTACCTCCGGCACAGACACTGCCTTATGCATTACGGGCATTCCTACAGTTCCTTTAGCAATTACCAAAGATTTCTATCTATGTTTCAACCAAAGAAAAGTAGCATAAATTTCACTGTGTGAAGAAAGGAGGGGACTAAGTCTCTTATACACTTAAAAAAATAATTTTATGTGGGAGAAGTCTTTTTCCTGTGTAGTACAGTTTGTAACTTTGGTCTCCTTTTGGGGTAAGAACTTTGAAGGCAGGAATCACTTTTAACTGGTTATTGGAAATCATGATAACTCAGTGCAAAGTCACCTATCTCCTGGTAGTTCTGAAATGTTGCATAGCCTTCTTTCAGCTCTTTCTAAAGTAACTGCTTTCTTCATGATTCATAACCATGTCATATCAATTGCTATACATAAGTAATTCTTTCCTCCAGGCACCTCCATTTCTCCATCTTTGATAAATGGCTGACTCCTTCAGCTGTCCACTTACCAGGAAGCAAGTCTCAATCTCATTATGGCAGCAAATGCACTGCCTGGTTCTCCCTTATTGTTGGGTTACTCCCAACAGTCAATCTTCAGCACTCCGAGGAGCTGGATCTGCAGTAAACTACAAGAGAAAGAACATAAATGTGAGCACAGTGGGTGTAATCTTCCGGGTGACTCCCAGACTAACTGATTGGTAAACTCGTAAGCACATTGATATCAGGATTAAACAATGGCAGAGGTATCACAGAAGAAATAAACAAATTATTTGCCACTACAAAACATCAATTAAAGAAGTGTTTATTACATAGTTTGGATGAAGTGAACTGGTGTTACATTTTAAATTTTTCCTTAAAACAATGCTATGTCTTGATTATGATCTTCTTTCACCTGATGTCCCATACATAGGCAAGGTAATATCAAGTAATGACTGTGGTCTGAAATCAAAGTGATAAAGGAATTTTCCTTATTCTGGCTTTGAGAGAGCTTGAGACACAGTCCACCAGTATTCATGATGGGAGAAACAAGCAGCTCCTTTGCTCAGATAGTTTTCTTTATCCTGGTAATTGTGAAAATCAGTTACTTGATCAATTTTGTTCTGTTTTTCATTAAATCATTGACCAGTGGCAAGTATGTTAAATATTGTGAGTTTGTCTTTCCCAAAGAATATTGCTGAGTCTGTGACCACTCAGCTTGCCACTCTGTTAGCCACTTTCTGCTGGACATTGGCCATATCCCTTTTATTTCATTTCACCTCCATCTGTTGCAGAAGTATATTCTAGAACCAAAAAAGGCCATTTGCTAGTTTCCCAGTATTCCATAATCTAGTTTTCCAGTATTTCTCCTGGTGTTTTCCTTTTCCTGAGGGCTAAGGTGCCATCTGAAAGCTTTACTACATCCTGAACCTTATGGTTATAAGAAATGATCTAATCAGCATAAAGGAGGGACTAAATCAAGGCCAGGTTGGTTTTTTTTTTGTGGTTGTTTTTTTGTTTGGTTTGGTTTTGTCTTGGTTTGTTGTTTGTGAGGGTTTTTTTAGTGAAAAAATTAATACATATCCTGGAGGAAAAGATTCAATATGACTAAGACGTACGTGAATCTGATCTGATGTGTTAGTACTGCAGACAGAAGAGAAGAAATTAATTCAGGGTGCCTACTTTTGAAGTAGATATCCTTAGTTTGAGGAAAGTATTTCTTCTACACAAGGTCTAGTAATTTGTGTGGCATCTACTACCTAATCCTTTCCAACTACTGTTCATAAATGTTAAGAAAAAGAGTAATACTGTGTTTTCTCCAATTAATCCAACTCATTTTGGGACTAAGGTGACTCATAGCAGAGTGTTTCTATGTTCAGAAAGAAAAATAACTTTGCCTTCTGACACCAGAAGAGAAGAATAATGCTCTTCCTCAGAAGTTTTGACCTACATAATTCTGTGTTCCTGACTTTGCAGAAATATAAAATCTATTTTTCCTTTCTTTTCCTGGTATTCGCTATCCATTTTTCTGTCTATGTTTTAACAGGATAATGCAAGTAGCGCTAGTGCAGACAACGTCTGACATCCTCTGCCTTCTTGCTGTTTTATTAGACACTGTAGATAAATATTTGTTGCTCATCAATAGAACGTTGCCTCCAGTGGCTCTGAATATTTGAGCACCTGTTGATCAGGTACTGTGCAGATAATTTCACAGGAGATGTTAGAAGGTCCTCACTGTTCAAAATCAGTTCTGGATCAGCATCAGTGTATTTTTACAAGGACTATTAGCTATAATACCTAATTTTTAAAACACATAAGAGAATTTTAACAATATTTTTCGCAGTCCAGATTTTCTTTTAAGGAGTTTATCTATGCTGCATGGTGAATAGATTTCAGTTTCTGCAATGTCCAACTGTCTTTTACAATTACAAGGCACAGTATGAATTATCAATTTCATTTCCCTAGTAGACATTTGGACCTTAAAAGTAGCACCTGACAATTTCCCCATGGTTTTTTAAATCAGTTCAGTTTCTGACTAAGGTTATACAGTGATTTAATTAAGCTGGTAGTACGGCATTATCACTGTTAAGTACACTGAAGGAGAATTCTCCTCTGATACCCAAAGTAAGCTTTTTCATCCTGAGTGGTCCTTCTTAGGCATTTACCTATATGGATGCATAAGTCTGTAATAATTGATCACTGCCCAGTGGTAGTGGTCCATTTGTCCCTTCTTTAACCATGGGAGGAAACGTGAAGTTACGTGAGGAAGATAGTAGAAACATACTTTAGGATCCATTCCAGCTCTGTGTGGCAAAAGCTCAGAGAGACAATGAACATTTCAGTCAGCCCAATGTATAGTGGTAACACTTAGAAAGGAGGGCAAACAGTGCATTTGCTGTGTATATCAAAAGGCATTCTCTATAGCTAAAACAGTGTTTCAGCTTCTTGAACCCTTCAACCAAGGTTCCAGAGCCAGAGTTTCATAGAAGCCAAGGAGAAAAGCTAAAGTAGAAGCCAGTAGAGTCTATGTTGATTTTCTCTCCTGAAAGCAACAGCCTGCTCTTTGTTTTTCCTGCTGCAGTTTTCTGAACAGGCCCAACAGAGATTTCAAGAGAGACTAAGGTTTTGTGGTTTTTTCCCATAAGTCTAGTTCAGCACCTGAAAAAGAGTGATATCATTACACGTTTTAACAGAAAACATCACTGAGTTACCATTGTCTGCACATTTTTGCCAGTTATATTTTTGACTACCAAAGAACTGTTCAATTTTTCAGTAATTCTGCCTTTGAGTAGAAATACCAGACATGCAGGTGCAGCAGAACACAGGGATTCAAGTGGCTACACTGGAGCAACAATATTAACCTCCTGTCACACCAAAGGATCAGTGAATGTTTCCAGAAGCATCACCTATTTCGTAAAGCAAGGTGAAGGATGTTTGCCTTTACACAGAAAATTACTGCCCAGTAGGTTATGGCCTCCAGGTAAACTGACTAGGACAGAGACATGTTACAAATTAGCTGTCCCATCGCTACCCATTCCAAAAACATAAATTACATGTACAATTGTTATTGAGCTCATTTAACTAGACAGTCACATCATAGCTACTGTGGTTCTGCTGTCCACTAAACACAAACTAAGTGCCCTGTCAACCTTGCGAATCTCTTTCTCTGCCTGCCATCCTCTCCTAGTTTAATGTGGGCAACAACACAACAGGATGGAGCTATTAGTATTTTGTTGCATTTCTGATAGGAAGAATATGGAACAAATATATATAAACAACATTATAATAAAGTCATCTAAGATTAGCCTATCTGTAATTATCATTAGCTCCAATATCACTAAGATCTGCTTTTCTCACAATTATACTCAAAGGTGACCAAGCTGCCAACCTCTTCCTTGCAGTATTGGAAAGACAGGAAAAATGAAACATCCACTACAGAAATGAAAGCAAACAGAAGGAAGGAAAAGAAGTGAGAGCCACCTTAAATGGTAACAGTGAAAGCAAAATTATTCCAACTTACTGTGAATCTACTGCATCATTTCTTTCTGAGTAACAGAATTTGGCAAGAGGCTGGATGGAAACAAGGATATACCTGCAATTTCAAAGTTAAACAGTAAATTTCAAAGAGCGCTTCCCATAACTGCAGTCAAATCATTGATGTCTTCCCCAAAGAGGCAC